GTGTGTGTGTGTGTGAGTGAGAGAGAGTGTGTGTGTGTGTTTGTGTGTGTGTTCAGATGACTGACTGCATCTCTCTCTCTGTAGGACTCCTGCTGCAAACACTAAAGACACTCAGAGCACTAAAGCAAAGACGAGCTCCTGCAGGAAAGCGCTGGAGATGTGAGTAAAGAGCTGCATGTGCTGAAGCTCCTCCAGTCATCAGTAACTGACCTCAGTCTCTCTCCTTCACACAGCAAACCAAAGGAAACAAGTGCAGCAAAAACAGGTGAGAGAACCACGTCGTTTCCGAACGTTGTTATTTGTGTTATTTCCCAAGCTTTATGTCTGTCAGTTCCTGCTAAAATGGTCTTAAACTGAAGCAATGCAGTTCCATAAATCAAACTATTTTATAAATTGGTCAGTGCAGTGTTCCAAAAATCAATTAATAAAAATAATAAAATCAAATCATTACTAGAAATGAAATAAAATATACAAAATCTTTTTTTCCCAGAAAGTTGCCAAAGGAAACATTTCTCATTTTCATTGTTTAACTTGAAGTACTAAAATAACTAAACTAAAACTGAAATAAAAATGATTAAAAAACAATATAGAAATATATATAAAAAGTTGGAATAAATAAATAAATAAATATATATATTAAAGCTACATTTTTGTAATATATATTCAATGCTTTTCTCGTGTAACACAATAATGAGCCCAAATTGATGTGTGATTCATTTGAGATTAATTTGATCAATCACTTCATGCAATTAATGAGATTAAACATTTGAATCGCTTGAAACTTTAAAATGAAAACAGAAAATCTATATGTAAAAAATGTAATTCAAAATATTAATAAAAACAGGAATATAATATCAATGATTCTAAAATAACCCTGGTTTAATATGCACTAGACGTACTAGTACAACGACAGTTAACATTTACATTTTTACATTTTAATATTGAATATATATTGTGTACTACAGATACTGTCAGACAGAATGCTTTGTTCCTCTTTTGTAAGTCACTTTGAATAAAAGCTTCTGCTAATGCATAAATGTAATATAATATTTCATATAATAGTTTTTTTTATGGTAACCACTGTATAATAGCAGTAAGGCATTTGTGGATGTAGTTCGCATTAACTGCTTCACACGTCCTCTGTATTTCTGTGCTCTAGGCTCCAGACGAGTCTCTCACTGCAGAGGTAGGTCTGATGCCAAACCATTAGATGATTGATGGTTATTCAGTTTTATGCATTTAAAATATATTTCATGAATTTTAAGAACATTCTCAATCAGCTTAACACAAAATAGTTATTATTAGAATTGTAAAGTTTTCATATAACATGGTAAGAGACGTTTGTGTTTTTCTGTGTGCCTTTAATTCATTCCTGTTGGAGATGAGCTGTATTTCACAATTTCCCCCGTTTTTATTATTTATTTATTTGTGGTGACATTCACCCATTCCTCTTGAATAACAGAGGTCCATATCACTGTAAAAAATGACCGTGAATTTAACGGTAAAAGACTGTAAAAAATGCGACAGTAAAAACCTGTTAAATGGTTAACGGTAAATTCCTCTACTATATACGGTGAAAAACTGTGTTGGACATTACATGTCATTTTACGGTAGTATACCGTTTTTGGAAAAGACCGTATAATTTACAGTGAATAACCGTAAATTGACATACATTTCAAATTGAATGTTTTTTTGTTGTTGAAATAGCTATGTTTCTTCTTAGTTTTGTATATTAGGGTTGTGTGTTTCACCTAATGTTGTTAAATTAATGTTTATTGCATGTCCGTAAAACCTATAACATTGCTACCGTATTTTTTTCACAGCTGCCGGTTTTTTACCGTAATTCTTTTTACAGTGTATAGAGCAGATGATGTTTTAATGATCATGTGTCTCTTAATGTTTTCTCTCTCTCTCTCCGTTTATCGGTCCTCGTCCTCATCTGCCCCCTTCACTTAGTGACTCTGCAGATCTCTCTGACGCCGCTGTCCGGAAGGACTGGGTCAGCTGATCCCGAGGCGCTGCGGTCCGCAGGATCTACAGTCAAACCGTGTAAAGCATTGGTCCAGAAGCCCTCGCTCCGGGACGCCCCGAAACACAAGAGTCCCATCAAATCCCCCAGTCAATACTTCCAGATCTGTTACTGAAGAGCCGGCTCTCACACACTCATCACCGACACGCCTCGCTTAGGATTAGTGATGACTTTCTGGAGAACCAGGCTTGCTGCAGTGAAGAAGTGCAGATGCACACCAGAACACTGACACTGCAGCAAGCCTGGTTCTGGACTCAGTGTATCTCAGTTAAAAACATCTTAATGCTGGGTTTGTTCTTAGTTGTATTTGGTGCCGAATTAAAGCGAATCAGATTCATACGGGGAGTTTCTAATTCTATAATCATCTACTGCTGTGACAGATGTTAAATAAGATGACACTGAGACACTGAGAAAGCACTTTTCTTGATGAACAGATTCATCCACAAATGATCAAAACTCAAACGGACTGAAATCTTGTGTTCAGGTTTAGTGATCTCGTAGGTGATTGCATGTCAACTCATTTAGAAAATACCCCATCATATATATATATATATATATATATATATACAGTACTGCGCAGAAGTCTTCTCCATTAGTACTTTCACCTGCACACAGTACTGTATATCGTATAATTTACAGTGAATAACCGTAAATTGACATACATTTCAAATTGAATGTTTTTTTGTTGTTGAAATAGCTATGTTTCTTCTTAGTTTTGTATATTAGGGTTGTGTGTTACACCTAATGTTGTTAAATTAATGTTTATTGCATGTCCGTAAAACCTATAACATTGCTACCGTATTTTTTTCACAGCTGCCGGTTTTTTACCGTAATTCTTTTTACAGTGTATAGAGCAGATGATGTTTTAATGATCATGTGTCTCTTAATGTTTTCTCTCTCTCTCTCCGTTTATCGGTCCTCGTCCTCATCTGCCCCCTTCACTTAGTGACTCTGCAGATCTCTCTGACGCCGCTGTCCGGAAGGACTGGGTCAGCTGATCCCGAGGCGCTGCGGTCCGCAGGATCTACAGTCAAACCGTGTAAAGCATTGGTCCAGAAGCCCTCGCTCCGGGACGCCCCGAAACACAAGAGTCCCATCAAATCCCCCAGTCAATACTTCCAGATCTGTTACTGAAGAGCCGGCTCTCACACACTCATCACCGACACGCCTCGCTTAGGATTAGTGATGACTTTCTGGAGAACCAGGCTTGCTGCAGTGAAGAAGTGCAGATGCACACCAGAACACTGACACTGCAGCAAGCCTGGTTCTGGACTCAGTGTATCTCAGTTAAAAACATCTTAATGCTGGGTTTGTTCTTAGTTGTATTTGGTGCCGAATTAAAGCGAATCAGATTCATACGGGGAGTTTCTAATTCTATAATCATCTACTGCTGTGACAGATGTTAAATAAGATGACACTGAGACACTGAGAAAGCACTTTTCTTGATGAACAGATTCATCCACAAATGATCAAAACTCAAACGGACTGAAATCTTGTGTTCAGGTTTAGTGATCTCGTAGGTGATTGCATGTCAACTCATTTAGAAAATACCCCATCATATATATATATATATATATATATATATACAGTACTGCGCAGAAGTCTTCTCCATTAGTACTTTCACCTGCACACAGTACTGTATATATATATATATATATATAATGTTGGGAAGGTTACTTTGGAAATGTAATAGGTTACAGATTACAAGTAATTTGTACTTAAAATGTAATAAGTAGTGTAACTTTTCAATTACTTTATTAAAGTAATGTAACTGATTACATTTGATTACTTTCCTAATTGTTTATATTTTCAACTGTTTATCATTTTCAAACATGTAAACCAGGCAAGGTTAACCTTACAGTAGTATTCAACTGATTACTGTCACACTTTCGAAAACCTTCATCACTTGAATTAAGATTATGTTTCAGTTTAAAAGTAGACATTGGATACAAAAATTCACTTTTACATGATGTTTGCATATAAATGTATCTTAGCAGTGTGTGGAGGACACAACCCCTACAATGATAAAAGTCCATTCACTCCTTTTTTTAATCCCCCAAAATCCTAAACAGTCTCAATTATCAAGCCGTTTAGATTTTCTGAGGAGTAGAGTACAGCAGCTGTAGCGACAATGTAAGCAATGCAGGTGTTTTGTAGTTTTGTGATGTAGAAGAACATAAATCTTAATTTTCTCCCAACACCAGAGCCACTGAGGACGCAGTGCATTAGTTTGCAACTTCAGGGATCTTATCTATGCACAATCAGCTCGTAACACTCTAAAGAGAAAGAACAACTTGAAATCGCATCTAAATGGTAATGCGCCACTGAATACACCTAAATTCGTTTATGTCTGCGCAAATAATTTTACTCCAGACTGCTTTCTGAACGAGAGACAATTCAAGGCAGGTTTTGTTAAAAAGTTAAAACTCAAGGATAGATCAGTACCCATTGTTCATGATCCAGCTGCACCTCCAGAATTAGTAAGTCTGACACTTTATATTTTTTATGATTATTTGCAAATCGCCTTTGCTCTTCGACGGAAGAAAGGGGCGGGTGAGCAAAGCTCATTAGCATTTAAAGGTACAGTTTTTATAGCAAGCAAAGCCAAAATAATCTATGATCAGATAAAGTCTGATAAAAACTGTTTCATCAGTTTGTGATGTCAAGACCATCATGAACTAGTCAGATTCACTGAGCTCACCTAATGTTTAATCTCTTATTAAGTGTGTAATGTATAACTAATACTCTTGAGTTGCACCACTGATACTACTGCAATCATTGGGAAACATTGCTAAGCACAATATGCACAAATACAAGCTTTGAACTATGGCAGCACTTAAACACACACAGACGTCAACAGTCAGCCTATGAATCTCAACATTGGTGACAATCAAAAAAACTTAATTATGCAATGCATGCTGGGAGTTTTGTACTGGCACCCAGCATGCATTGCGGCATGATTTAAATTTTTTTTATTAATAGTCACCTATCAGCTGATTATTGATGTCTGTGTGTGTCTAAACAGTGCTGTAGCTCTAAAAGTTTTGTGCATAAAATGTTTTTAAATCCCTTCATAATAGTCTGCCAATTTATCTTGTAGAGTCATATCAGTACCATAAACAATACAAAATTAATTGACCCATTTAATTGGACACTAATTGAAATCAGTGAATCAGGTCATGAAATGATCACTACAGCATCACCAATAGCTATTAAGACCACTTCACTAGAAGTTTTCTCAGCCTTTCTTTTACAAACACAATTACAACAGCAGAGAAAAACTAACATTAAAGAGTCAAGGGCCAAGAGCCCAACTAAAGCAACCACTGATCGCCAAAATAGTGAATTTGTGTAGATATATGACAGAAATCAAGTCAAACTGGTTAGTGCTGAGTGAAGCTGGTAATGCGGTTTGTGGAGCTGTGTAATCCTTAACATTTTCAGAAGTAACTGTAACCGATTACAGTTACATTTATTTTGTAATTAAATTACGTGATTCCGTTACATGTAACTAGTTACTCCCCAACACTGTATATATATATATAATGTGTAGGAATTTTTCATATAGATTTTTCACAGACGTTTTACCCTTATTTTGAAAATACCAGTATATTTTAATATTATATATATATATAGAGAGAGAGAGAGAGCGAGAGAGAGAGTCAAGATCACAAATAAAGAATACATTTTGAAAAAAAAAATCGCTATTAAAATTTTTAAAAGGTGCAGAAAAAACACTTAAATTACTAGTTAATGTCACATTTACAAAGAATTATTTAAAATTGTAATAAATAAAATTGTAAAAAAAAATGGTATAAAAGTGTTTTCCAGGGGTGTGGACTCGACTCGACTCGACATGATTAAAGAAGACTCGAGAGACTTAGACTTGAGCCCTGTGACTCGGAAAGACTTTATGATCAGATCAGAGTCGTTATTACTCCAGACGCGTGCGTCCCTGCGTGCTTGCGCTTGACTGGCAAAAGGCCAGAGACTGTGTTCAGGGAGTGCTGGATATACAGTATAGGCTGGTATAAATTAATGGAGTAATAGCATAACTTACGACAAAAGAAAAAAAAGACACGATTCGTATATAGCTATCTCCGCTCGTGAAAAGGGCTGCCCTGCCCGTTGAATATATAACTATAAAATATACTATTTTTATATATACTATATTTTTCACTTTCATTTCTTTCAGGATAAATGAATGACTTCACGTGTTGTAAATCAGCCTGTAGGCCTAAAGCGCACACAGCGATCAGCTATGCATATTATAAACGTAACATTTAATGTACAACATTGTTTTCTATCAAATGATTGTGTGTTTGTTACTCTTGGGTTTGAAGAATGATAGCACAGTCGTCATGAGTTCCTCTCACGTGTAAAGTATGCTAGCAGGTATTTCTTCGAGTTCTTTCTGTGTTTCGCTCACATGTTCTTAAATCTGGCTTCGATGTAACACCAGAAGCATATATTCTTAAGCACACATGCAAAGTATGTTGCAGCTGTATTTCTATGCAGTTCTGCTGTTTTAGCTATTCTGTTACTGATAAAACACGCCTTCCTGATATAAATGACTATACATTTGATGAGCTAATTAATACTGAGACACTAATTTGGGCAAAGAGCACTAATGACTGAGGACTTGGTCACACCTCTGCTGTTTTCACTCAACACTTTCTCAAATAATAATAAAGAAAATACATAATAATAATTAAACATGGCATTTTGAAGTAGATGTGTGTGTCATATTTTTAAAATCTATATTTTACTCGTTAATATCTTTATTTTAAAGCTAATTAACGCTGATCTCTATACTAATGTATCGTTGAGAAAACATCAACAAAACTCCTCAGCTGCTTGAAGATGATGATGATGAAGATGATGAAGAAGAAGATGATGATGATGATGATGAAGAGCTTGAAGATGATGATGATGAAGATGATGAAGAAGAAGATGATGAAGAAGAAGATGATGAAGAAGAAGATGATGATGATGATGATGATGAAGATGATGATGATGAAGATGATGATGAAGATGATGACGAAGACGATGAAGAAGATGATGATGATGATGAAGATGATGATGAAGATGAAGAAGAAGATGATGATGACGAAGACGATGATGAAGATGAAGACGATGAAGAAGATGATGATGATGAAGATGATGAAGATAATGACGATGACGAAGATGCTGCTCGCGCGGGCTTAAGCTCCTCAGATGTCCCAGCAGCCGCGCGTGTAGGCGCTCAGAGCAGCGGGCGCGTGTTCCGGTGTTCCGGTGTTCCGGTGAGTCAGCGCGCGGCGGACAGAAGATGGCAACCCAAGCGCCGCCGAACCGGAGACCGGGGCGATCCCTGTGAGATGGCTTGAGCTCGAGACCTCAACACGGCGACACAATCAGGAGAACACGTTACGCACTCGACGCAGCAGCGTTCTGTCCTCGCGGCGCGTCCATTACACCGGACCTCACGGGATATTCTCCGGTGAACGCTAAGCGGCGTGGGCTTTCCCCGGGACATTACTCCATCCTCACGGAGAACGAAGAGGAGGAAGATGAGGTAAGCGCTCGCGGCGGTATTAATGGCTCGAGCTGCAGCGGCGCGTGAGGCGGCAGTGTGTGATTGATGT